TGAATATAGTCACCCCACTAAAATCTTGTAAAGCAGACACCAACTTGAAAAATAGAGATTGGATTACCATAGGAAGACATCAAGCAAATGTAAACGACTGTTTGAAGGTGATTGACAATGTTTCATGATGAATTTTACTAGTTCGGACTTCCATTGTCTACTATATAAAATGATTTGAAATCCCAGAAACAACTAAAAAAGAAGAATTGAAAATGAATAGCTGAAAATAACAATTATATTAACCAAAATAAACCTGAAATGAAATAATAGTGAAATAAATTACAAGTAAAAATAGAACAATTGAATAAATAAAAATGAAAGTAAAGAAAATAAAAATAAAAAGTGGAGAGATTCCAAGTCACGTTAGTTCACGACGTTTTGATTGTTAGTATCTACAATCGTGTTCAGGTGATGACTGGCTAGTAAAGCAGTAGTTGAAGATGAAATACCAACTGAATTACTGAAACATGTATCATAAGATATGTGAACCTATTGCACACATAATTAACTTATCATTTTTGACAGGCATTTTCCTGATAGTCTTAATATTGCACATGTCAAAGCTATCTTCAGAAAGGGAAATAAACATGGAATAATCAACTAGAGGCCCATTGCAATACTGCCAAATGTTAGTAAAATCTTTTTAAAAAAATAATATACAATAGACTGATCATGTATCTAGAAAATAATATTCTTCTAAGTCTAAGAGATATGCAGAATGGATTTAGAAGTAAGAAATCGACTTCTTGAGCTAACTATCAAACTCTATGTAAGGTAATTGAATCTATCAATAGTAAGAAGGCTACAACAGCTGTCAATCTGGACTTGTCCAAGGCTTTTGACAGTGTTGACCATAAACTACTGATCACAAAACTGTCGTTCTACGGTATCAGAGGGTATCACTCGAACTAATTATGTCCTATTTGAAAAATAGACAGCAATGTGTTACTAAAAGGGATACTGAAGGAAATATAATGATCAGAAATGCTATATATCGTAAGAGGTGTACCCCATGGGTCAGTGTTGGGCCCACTACTATATATTCTTTACACTATGGTTTTCAGTTCAACCGATCACAACTACCTACAGACAAATATTTTTTTTAAAGCTGAAGATTCTGAAGGAGTACTTTACATCACACAATCTCAAACTGAACAAAAACAAGACACAAATCATATCAACCCAAAACGGCACAAATAATACTTTAAGTAATGGTGTAACTATTTTAGAACCAGTGACCCAACTTTCCTTTCTTGGAATTATAATTTACTCAAAGCTGGACTGGAAGAGCCACATAGATAAAGTGACAACACAGATGTCAAGTTACTGCTATGCCCTGAAAATAATTACACAAAATATATCCACTGAGGCTGCGATGTTAGCATATAATGGTTATATTCAGAGTCACATCACTTATGGCATTATGTTCTGGAGAATGTCTTCACATACACAAAAAATATTCATATTGCAAAAACTGTGTCTCAGAAAAATATTTAATCTTTCTCAGAGAGAAAGCTGTAAAAAATATTTGTAGAGAAAAAATATTATTCCAAACAGGTCTCTATATTTATGACTTTGTGGTATTTGTCAAAGAAAATATATCTCTTTTTGCGACTCATGATAGGAACCATACCCACAACACACGCAAAACAAAAATAACCTTTTGAATAGAAAGACACATTTGACCTATCTTCAACAAATATACCTTGTTCAATCATCAATATTTATAACAAGATACCTGAATCTCTCAGAACTTTGTCTTCTATGATCATGAAGAATAAATTGAAAACTGCTACTCACCAAAGCTTATTATTCGATGGAAGAATTCTTCAATGATAATTTAAACTGATGCTGTTCGCGCTATTTCATGTCATATCATTCTGCATTGTGATGTAGTTTAGTCTCTTTTGAACCCTATATATATAGATGTGTGTTCGTGTTCTGTATCTAATATATTACATCAAGTATACTGACTGATAACCTTGTTATTCATATATCTGTAGCCATTTATATTCTTAACCAATATTAATGATACTGCCTCATGGTTTTCTATTTCTGTAATGTTTACTGTAATTGACATTCGACCACTTTCAAACAAAGGATCCACTGATTCACCACAAATCTGTTGTTCAAATAAACTTTTCAACTGCAGTACTTCAGCTTATATTTCAGTTTTTAACAGAATAAGAAAGCCACGTGTATTTATTTCTGAATAGATTCATTCTTCTCGTATGCAATGAAGGCTTTATGACACCCTGCCATAGCCGGAGCGCCATCCGTAGCAGCTGACATGATATTGTTCAAGGGAATATCTTTCCCATACATAAACAGAAACTATATTTATCACTTTTCCAGTGTGATAAATATAGTTTCTGTTTATGTATTCGCCTCTAAATTTTCAGCAAATAATAGTTCTTGATATATTTTCTCGTCTTTAATATTCCCTCTGTAAGATAGCTTCATTAGTTGGTAAAGTGGACCCATCCAACTGAAGTGAAAATTTACAAGTTTTAAGAAGATTGCACAACGACTCTTCGACATTTTCAGCCATTTCACCAATTCGTCTTTGCACAGAATTGTTGCTCAAAGGGATTTTTCGGATAATATCTGCCGCTGGTTTATGGAGCACAGTAATTTATTACTTTTTATTGCTGGAAAATCAACTCTTCTCCAATGGTGTGCGGTTCACCTGTTTGAGCAATTAACAAAGATAAATTGTAGGAAGATCAGTCAGTCATCGCCTTGCTTAGCAGCCGCCGAAAAAGTTTTGATACACTTGGCTAAGCATTGTGGCTACATTTCATTCAAATGACCTTGAAGGCTTCATCACTATATTCGAAAAATGATTTTAGACAAAGAAGGCACAAAGGTGAAGATGGGTTCACGGCATTTTCAATAAATTCGTATTCAATATATTCCGCGTCATATTGCCGTCTCTTCTTCTTTGCTTCAGACATAGTTTTGTTTTCACAGATACGTAAGTAAAGTGTTGAGCTTGAGTACCTAGTGGCTTGAAGTAACCGATACATTTTGTCAAAACAAGTCCTTAAATATACAATGATATAGACATATACCTGAAATAACAAGTGTTACCTGAATTATCGTTACCAATGATGAAACAATAACTATTTATCAAGGTAACCAACTATTTACCCCCAAAAAACCTACTTGTGGATTTTTTCAGCTACCAATGGATCTTAAAGTAGTTGTCAAAATTCACAAATTCAAAAGGGGAGAGCTGCATAGTTTTAGTTATCTAGTTGATCATTGAGGGTTTTGGAATTGGGGTTTTCATACAATTTATTCATTTCCAATGCTTCCAACGAATTCATATCCCTTCTATAATTGCATGCATGGATAATTTTCATGTTTTCTATATTTATTGTGTGGTTTGTTTCTTGTAGGTGTTCATATAATTATAGCTGATTTTTTATGCTCCAGGTATCTTATGTTGAAAACCACCTACTATCTTAATGACCGCGCACGAAATCATTGATGGAAATGAAAGAGAAATTACAAAGCGGATTACGCTGCATGGAAGCATTTAAATATAGCACACACCGGCAGGAATAAGACAAACATTCACAAACTAGTTTACCTCATTTAACGCTTAATTGCACTGAGCAGATAACAAATAAGTATCAATGAACCAGCCGTATCAACGTCCTCAATACCGCGCTCTTGGAGTAGGTACAACAGCGGAGAGGGACGAGATGCAACGGTATCAGAGGACATCTAAAACGAGTATCACATTTCTCCTGAAAAATATAAATTACTTGAAAAACTTACCCCACAATCGAATAACACGAGCTCAAAACTCTGCAGCAGTGTACATACCAAGAGCAAAAAAAACAATTGGTCAAAGATGCATTACCTATATTGGAGCTAAACTCCTGAATCATGTTCCTGTTTCAGTTAAAATACTTAATAATATTGGTCTGATGAAGAAACGCATTAAAAAATGGATTCTTGAACAAAGTAGACAGTTTGTCAAAATCATTGTAGACCCAGCAAATTGATTCATTTCTTATTTACTCATTTATTTATCTTATTTCTTTTCTTCATGATTATTTTTTAATTTCCTCTTATAAGCTTACTCATAAGACGAAACAAAAAAAACAATTGTTCCCACAGACAGGTTCCATGTGAACCTAAGTGGCAATCGTTTTTTATTTGCACACTCTTATGCTTTTCAATATTCAATGTAATACTTCTAAGAAGATTTGGAAAATAAATATTATTATTATTATTATAGTTTCATCGATATCAACGGCTTCTCCGAAATTCGATATGTTGTCGTTTTTTGGAGGATTTCTTGACAAAGCGTCGGCTACATTTTCTTCACCTTTTATGTGTTCTATTTCAAAGTCATATTCGGATAATAAAAGTTTCCAACTATATAATTTAGAAGTAGGATCTTTTGAATTGGCAAGCCATTTTGAAGGTTTGTGATCTGATCGAATTTTGAACTTATTTCCGAAAAGATAGGGTCGAAAATATTTAATAGACTTCTTATGGGTTTAAAGTTCTATTTCATAGCATATTGGTTTATTATTTTGACAAGACTACTCCTATAGCGTATTGCGAAGCGTCTGTTGTCAATGTAAAAGGTTAAAGGTTTAGTGAAGTCAGGTTGTTGTAGTATGGGTTCATTACAAAGTCATTTCTTGCATAAGTTGAATGCGTTCACGAATTCAGGTGTATGTTCAACTCGTTTGTATTTTCTCAAACAATTTTCCTTTGTTGTCTATCTGTCTTATACCTACCTCAAAAATAATTATTCACCTGGTCAGTTGGTCTATACATTGTCTTTCACTGTAAATAAGTTAATATGAATTCAAGATGAGAAATTGGTCGAATGGTCACAAAACTCATCTTACAAAGTTCTCTCATTTCTGTACAGATTTAGACCACAAAGGATTTTAGAGTTGTCCTTCATAACATTTATAAAAATTTCAAATTGTAACAAACCCAGTAAATAAATAAATAAAAAGATAACAGGTGTTTCAATATATGTATTAAAGATGTGACAAAACAAAACCTGTAAAAGAATGGTGTTTGGATAAGGGCTATTTCAAAATGAGTTATTTCAAAAACAAAATAACTTATACAGGACTTGTTTTATATGAAAGAAGGCTATTTATTTGCCTAATAATTTAATTGTCAAGTTTACATTGAATCACTTCATCCAGCAAAATTAGCAATGAAGTCTTGAACAACTTTTTTGAGTTGGGCATCTGTCTCTTCTGTAATTTTACCCTCTTTGGCAATACTTTGCAAAATATTCTGGTGGCTGCTCCTGAAAATTCAATAATTTGGTAAAATTAATACTGAACTAAAATTTTATGGCATTTTTCATAATACATCCAATACATTTTTCAATACATCCCACAAATTATTCAAGCTTTGTAAAATTCATATTCAGTTGTTTTCTCAAAGAGAGAAACTGTTTTCTTTCCTTTCACAGAAAATGAATTCGTACCTATACATTTGTAAAATTATAATTCAAATAAAAAAAGTGTTCACTGAAACAATTGTATTACTCTTGAGTCCTGATGTCCACCGAGCGGGACACTTCCTAAAATATATAATAGTAAAAATAATGTTCAACCCTTGCCCTCTGATGATCCTAAGATGACTTCTGATCACGAAACATTCGTTATTAATTTTTTTTTCTACCTTACGGAACCACTTACGGAAAATAAAATGAGAAAAAATATGTATTGCCTTACTTGATGTGTTCTGAGAACTGTTTTTCAAAAACAGTAATTTTAGATGGGTCGATTTTATCCAGGTGTCCCCTTACACCGCAGTAGATAATAGCCACTTGTTCCTCAATTGCCATGGGCACATACTGTCCTTGTTTCAACAGTTCAGTCAAACGAACTCCTCGATTCAACAGTTGTTGAGTAGCTGCATCAAGATCAGAACCAAATTGGGCAAATGCGGCTACCTCACGGTACTGAGCCAATTCTAGCTTCATGGAACCGGCGACCTTTGAAAAATATTGAATACAATTACTAATTTCATAGATAAAAACAATGATAATATCACTTTCTACCATTTTTAAATCTTTCCAAGTTGTGAAACCTTTCTTGAAAAAAATCAACATTTTGACACACTGGTATTACTATGATGTCCAAAAAGAAGTGTCCAAATTTATATTGACTCAACTTCGATATTTCTAAAATGTTATGCAAAATTGGGCAAATGCGGCTACCTCACGGTGCTGAGCTAATTCTAGCTTCGTAGAACCGGCGACCTTTGCAAAATATTGAATACAATTACTAATTTCATAGATAAAAACAATGATAATAATATCACTTTCTACCATTTATGAATCTTTTCAAGTTGTGAAACCTTTCTTGAACTAAATCAACATTTTGACACACTGTTATTACTATGATGTCCAAAAAGAAATGTCAAAATTTATATTGACTCAACTTCGATATTTCTAAAATGTGATGCAAACAATTAATCAGACTTGACAGAAAGTTCAAGTGAATGAATATCAATCAAAACATTCTAGAAGTGAATATGGAAAACATGATGAATTATATAATATGAAAATAACACTACTACTGTCTATCATTCTCACAATCATAAATTTATTATAAATCATGTCCTTATATTATACATAAAATACAGTCTGGATGTAAATAGCCTCTCAATTTTCGAAAGGGGCAAGATATCAGAGTCACACGAAGCTTTTGTAAAAAGGAACCGGTTTTAGTAATTTTTGAAAAAATAGCCAATAATGTGACATCACTTGCCGCTGAGATGGAGGAAAGGGAGGTCTTTGGACATTTTGTATGAAAGGTTTTTCAATTCTCTATACAATAACCTTCAGCTTTTTGAATTTCGATACCTGGTTATGGAGTTACCAATGTTAGAATTTGGAACTAAGAATTTCGTAACTCTGCCACCCAAAGATTTTTTTAAATAAGTTTCAATTGAAAAAAAATTGTGAAATATTTTTCAATACATAAGTGGGTAACTTCAAGGGCAAAAATATAGTATTTTAATTTAATTTCCTTATTATTTATCTCATACTTGAAAAATTCATTTAAAGAAATGTTCAAAATGTTCTCCTTGAAACCTCCTGACAGTAAAAGTGTATTTTGGAACTCATTTGTATTATTTTGGAATGTATCTGGGTTATGCTAGCACAAGTTTCGGAAATTCTGTCTCTAAATTCCCGTATTGTCCCAGACTGAAAGTTACTTCCTTCTTTGCATGATCTACACATCTTTATATAGAATTTTTGAAATTGATTGCTTCCTTACTTTCTTTGGTAGATTTCCACATTTTTTTTATCAAGATGGAGAAGTGGAAAGCGAAAACCTTCCTTTCCCAAAAATTATTCTCTCCTAAAAATATACCCTTTCAATTTAAACGAGATTCCTACGGCTAGAATTTAATCAAATACGTGGATGAATGTTATTTATGTACTGTAATCGTTGACATGAGTGCATTCAATTCATTCCGTGACAAAGAAATCTTATATTTTTTAACAAATTGAGTGTTTTTTCTTATAATGTTATCCGTATTTGGTACTGATAAAGCAAGTGTCTTAAGGCAAAACATCGGATGTCTACTAGTGAGGATGACAGTGTTTCATGTAAGTGCAATTTGTAACCATTCATTTAAAGTAGAACTCATGTGAATGA